TACTTACTATCTTCTTATCTTCTTCTACTCGTATATTATAAAGTTGAAGACTTTGTTTGCTTAAACGCGCTAATCTCAGGTACTATCAGGGCCGATTTGGAAAAAATATTTTTGTATTCTGTAGCCCATTTATCGAGGAAGGCTTTTAGGCTATAATAACATCACCCTAAAGTCAATAGAGACGCAGTATAGAAAAAAATTGCTAAAACGGGAAATATTTTCACACGTACGAAGTCGCGGGCATAGCTAGTATACACAATAATAATACTGCCGATTTACTTTTTGAAGTATACTAATTTATACGAGTAGGTTGAAATTTTATATTGTCGAAAGCAATAAATATAGAGTGTACATTATAAATCCGACTCCATCATTATCTGTAATGTAAACAATCCCACAGATCTCAATGTACATTACTTCGACAAAATCTCTGTTGTATGAATCAGCGCGCGCGCAGGTGTAAATCCACTTATTTAGCAAATAAGGGAATTTTTAACTGTAAGGTATTTACGATGGGAACATGACACAAAGCTCGTGACATTGATTTTGTTCTATGATACCTAATTTTGTTCGTTCGTTCGTTTCAGTCCCACTACTGGACAAAAGCCTCCCCCAAGGATTTCCACGTTCTGTCCTGTCCGGCGCTGCCAACGTCTAGTTACCTCCCGCGACCCTCACTAGATCGTCAGTCCACCTAGTGGGGGGCCTGTCCACAGTACGTCTTGTGGCGCGTGATTTTGTGTTCGGATCTAAATAAAAATAGTCCTAAGTTAAGTTCGCCTTTTCTACTCTATACAATATGCAATAAGTTTTGACTAGGAATTGTTTTGTTCTCTCTCTGTTGATACGAGTAGGTATGTGCCTATAAAATGCAGTAGTTTTGACGTACCAACAGATACTAAATTGAAGGTTTCCAGGAATGTTGCTCTGCTACCGTTCATCACTCTTCTTGACCTTTAATGGGACTCGAACTCACGACCGTCTTTGTAACTGTCATAATATGGCAGCGCCAAGCCACTAGATGGCGCTGTGCGCTGTTAGCTTGAGTATCTTTTATTGTTTTATTATTGAAAATAAGGTTTACTTATGAATAGGTGAGTATGGCAATTTAAAATTAAGAAATGTGAATCTTAGAAGCTTTTCCTACCTAGGTCATACGCAGGCAATCTTAATAGGAAATGTAGAGCTTGAGCACACAATACCTAAAAGTATCAATATAGCCTAAAGATCAACTTGGCTTATATCTATAGTACGAGTATTATTATGTAAAATGATAAACAAAAGAAAGCTTAGTGGACCATGTGCAAGACAAAAGACCAACGGCCTGAAAGACAGTTCAGGGTTCAAAAAAACCTTTTTAGTGCGATCCATACATTATCGGTACATGTTTATGTTTGTTTAAGCCCATTAAGCACAGCTTGATACTGTATAGAGGTAGAAAGTCCCAAGTTCCGACCATCCTGCACCGTAAGTCGACCCCGCATATTTCTGCAAAATGACAAAACGAAAAAGGACGTGTTTATTGCTGTACACATGCATAATTTTTATTATGGCGGCAGAAAAAGTGACAAACAATAACAATACATCAGTCCCGCACCGCAAAAACCTTCGTTTTACTGAAATATTGTGCAAGAATGAATATTTAAAAATTCAATGCCGACTCATTTCATAAATCTGAATTCTTAGTTGAAACGCTTCACGGGCAACGCTTCAGAGGTGTTGGTTAAGTTGACGCACATTGTTATTCATTATAAATACACAAAATAACTTAATTAAAGACCGAAAACCGGCATTATAAGTCAGAAAAAATACACAGCCTCCGCGCCGGTCGAGAGCTCAGCTGTCCCTGTCGCACCCGTTCAATTTCATCCTCCATCCCTTTTCGTGCCAGACGAACTTGTAAATTGTTCTTTTTACAATGCGTCCAGAGCGAAATGGCGTAACTCAACCTCTTAAAAGCACTTACGACTTTATTGCTAAGTAACAAAGTTGGATTTGAATAGTTTTGAGTTTGTAGTGATGTTTAGTGTATTGAGCCGCTGATCAAGTTATCTCTCTCAGACAAAACAAAATACAGCACAAGTCTTTTGAGCTTTCGAGTTTAGTTGCTTTACCGCGATTGCTTTTTGTAGCCCCGTCCCTTTTCTTGGTGCATTTCATTCGTAACACAAACGGGTTCGATCTGAAATCCTTTGGCTCAGCACCCCAAGGTATAACCAACTTTATTGGGTAACTTTTAAAGGTTTAAATAGTTTGGTAGTTGTTAATAGTAAGGTTGTTTGAACAGTTTTCGTGAAGTTGTAACTGTCACGTTCTATCGAACAGAGATGTGGTCTTTTTGGTCGTGCATCGAGACATGCATTGCTCTAAGTTAGTTTTCGTACGATGCAACTAATGCATGATTCATTTTGCCTTTAGCGGGTGACGAGAGTCCGCGCACATGGCTAACATCGACATTCCATTGTAAACGATAGTGTTGTTTGTTTCTTTTTTATCGGATTGAGTTACTAAGATAGTCTAGTAACAACTTTATCATCGCAATGTTTTGTTGATTACTTACCTTAAGCGGCAATTTCTCTCTTATGATATATTTCTCGCTAATAATACGTTCTTGAAACGATAAAGGCTGTAAGTAACTATAGAAATATCAAAATCTCTCTTTCTATATCCTCAATCTTTATAAGCATCAGTTTTATGTAAATAGAGTATTTTGAATATTCGTTTTGTTAGCTTATTCAAGCCCGTAATAGCGTAATATCTAATACCTACCTTTCATGAGATAACGATAGGTTAAAGTTATGACAACGAGTTAAACTCCAAATATTTTGAAACGTATTAGCGTTTAGCGCAGTTTTACAGCAAGTTCAGTACTAAGAAGGTGCTTTAAAAGCTCCAGAATACTCGGTATTAGAATTCTAAAACATTTATTTATTACATCAAACGACAACCGGGCTATTTGCTATTGTTACGTTCTTAATAGACTGCCTCTTCCGAAAGCATCAAGTCAGTCACCACCAGAGACATTATTTACTTATATCTTTTACTCTAAAAACTTCAGATCTGATCATAAAGATACTTTAACCAATCTTTATCGAAGACCTTATGCACCTCATCCTTTTACCTATCGTCTTCTTTCGTTTAGTAATGAAATTAAAATACAAGTCCTAATTTAACTTTGAATATAACTTAAAAAACTTTCCAGTTAAAAGTATTTACAGCAGCAAGCTTTCCTCAAAGCAATACGTCTCTAATCATCCAAAGAAACGCAGTATTTGCCTGTGAACTAGCGTAGCTTCTGTATATCTACTACATTTTTGTGGACTTTCCCAGAATTTGTCCTGCTTGAGCCATCAGTGCCCCTGTCATCGGCTCCAGCCAATATTTGCTCAGTAGTCGGTACCACAAACAGTCATGATGAGTGTTGACTGTTGACCAACCACTTCACAAATAGATAATTATTTAGACCGTATAGACAATGGGTTTGCTTATGCTTGAAGGTCAGACTGGCTTAAGATGTCTTTGAATTTAAAATAAACTGTGTAAAAGTCCAATAAAAGGTCAAGATTTAAAACTGGTGCCTATTTTTTGTCTACATAATATCTCGTTCACTCAAAGCTCTCAAGTTTGTTACTCGGTTCAATTTGTCACACATAGTAAAATGTATCATAATTTCAGCTAAAACGAAAAAATTCCAACTCAAAAAAGCGACCCACGGCACTATATTCGGACACTATATTCAAAATTCATAAATATTTCTGCTAATATAGTAACATCACAGTATTAAAATATTTGAAAACCAATTAAATGGTAAAACATCTCAATCAATATTTTCCATAACATTTTTTTTAATCATCAAATCTTGTGATTTATTCATCCAAAGGTTAATAAAAGTGGGTAATTCTGCCTAGATACGGACATATTAATATTTCTAAATATTTTAAGTAAGTAAATTGATTAAGCGATATTAACAACCTTAACCTAACTGTTATTAAATTACACAAACAAATTAAGAATATTAAAAATGCAAGTCCACGCACGGAATTTGGACTTAGAAAATAATATTTTTCTATTGGGACGAGCGTCCCGTTTCTCGTTTGTTTGTATACCAACTGCTGTTTATTATGCTTGCTCCAGATAAGTTTTATTTGGTTACCTGAGGTAGAGATTTGAAATTTAAATATTTGCCTTCATTACTGGAGTTTCAACGTTTGCTTTAACTTTGGATTGAGCTTCTTCACAATTTCCGAAAGTTTAAGTAGTTTTTTTAATGACTTTTTGTAATTGGTATTTTTTTCTTCTTAACAAAAAGAATTTCCAAGTACCTAATCTAAATTTACTTCTGTCAATAATATCCATTCTAAAGCAGTCAATTTCCAATCTACCAACAAACCCTTCATTCATAGTCCGTCCTGGACGACCGATCCTATTTTGCCTTTGGTTATCGTAATGTCATTGACCTATCTCACTGTGCTTAAGTGCTGTACCAGAGCTTTCAACTTATAAGCTCCGAACTTCAAAGTTTCAAACTGATTCATACCGGTAAAAACACCTGTGGGCGTCAACTTTTTACTATTTTGTCAGCATAATTAGTTTACAAAACAAATAAAACATTATTTACTCACACCTCATTATCAATTTATTTATCCAATCGTCGATTCCACACGAACATAAATCAATAAATTTGTAAATGCAAATTCATGAATTATCATTGTTTATGTTAGTGCATCAGTCAACATAGCGCTAAGAAAATGAGATTAAGACATTATCTGGTTAGTACTATCCACGCTGGAGTGAGATGGAATACAAATACAACTGCATATAATTTGTACGGAAATAACTTTCGGTGCGAGCGGGATGGCGCGATTGAAATGTCAGGTTCGACGCGCGCATAATGAGAAAAGCGCCGTCTCTTTCGCTCCTGACGTCTTACAATCGTTTATTGTCATGTTACTGTCTCATTCTGACGTTCAAGATTGAGATGAAATTGCTGGCGGCGCGGTGCCAGTCCACTCGGGCTACTATATCGGATCGCACTGCGCCGGTGTCGGACGTAGCCACTATCGTTCTTTTTTTCTTTCGTAAATCATCAATAAACAATCGGCATTTATTTTTTTAACAAAACAAGTGACTGTTGACAATCTAAGTGCGAGTGCCAGTGACATTGCATCAGTTGACGAATAAAAAAATGTGTTAAAAAGTTTTAAATTGACAAGTGAGCATGTGTGGTGCTGTATTTATTAATATGCGAATGGATTGCTACCGCTGCGATATAGTTTGACACATGATGACCTGACAAATCAAGATAATTATCAGTAAGTTGCTTCTTTTTATTATTTATTTTTTTCAGCCGCTTTTCTAAAGCACATTCTAAAAATTCAAAAAAATTGAGAATGCGGCGTTTTGTGTTTACCGCTAGCGGAATTTTGCGTTATTCTTTTCGGGTGAAGTGACAAGTCTTCTTTTTAAACCCAAACATGTGGTCCAGGGCGTTTTGTACCTGCGGCCAAGACGTGAAGGGCTCCTTTTTGTGGTAAAAACAAAGACATCCCAACGGACGACGGGGTGTCGCGCCGTAGTACAGTCACGTTTTTAGCCATTCCCGAGAATTCACGGAATTTATTTTATCACTGCTACGTTCGCGTTTTAATAAACATGTAAAGTACCTAAAGCGAATGCGCTTTGACGGAAATCGTGTGAATGAATGAACTCCTCAGCGGAAGACATTTAATCTTATTCATGAATAATCGAGGTTGAAAATGAAGGAATGATTGTAAATTATCATGTTTAGTGATATAAGAAATGTTAAATTATAAGCCTAACCTTGTAATTAAATTAAATAAATAAATAAAAAAATAAAATAAAAAATACCATGTTATACATTGACTAAATCTAAAAAAATAGGAACTACCGAAAATAGGCGTATTTACCTGAATATACTTATTTGTACATAAAAAAAACACTTTTATTCAAATATTGTATACTTCAATAAATCCCAGTTAAGAATTTTGTATTAGGTACAGTTATGTCATATTTTATTAATAAAATCATCAGTTATTATCAAGATATTATCACAATCCATACCAGTATCTGTATTCTGATTTTAAGTAAAGCAAACTTGTTGTTCCCAAGCTTTTTAACTGACTTTAAGTCAACGGAAAATACATACTACCTATAGCTTTGCGTTAACGAATATCAATTTATTAAGTTTTTAAATTGTAAGATAATGCCAATTTAACATAATTACATAATAATATGCAACTCCTTTTACATCTGATAGCTTTTAAAATTGTTACTGAAAAAATAAAGGCTTATTTCAGAAACGTCGCCTAAAATTCCCTTCAAATTAGATTCAAGTGGATTAGTCAAAACATTATTAGTATTTTCAATAGACAACTATCTTTCAATAATAACTATGAGCCTAACAAAACAAGTATTAATTTAGCTATAATGTCAGAAGCGGCTTAATTGTACTAATCATTTTGCAGAATTTAATATTGTAGGTATCCTTAAAGAGTTCACAGTTTTCGTGAATGCAATACATAATATAGTGATATTAAGTATGAGTAATTCACACAGAAAAGCGACAATCGGAACTTACTTATCTGTACATTATCTTCTATTCCTTCCATAATGGGAGAAAGTTTTAAAAACTTTGAAGTGAAACTTACAATCTGGAAATGGAAAATTCAAATGGGCATAATGTCGCAAAACCTCATAACAATAATAAAATACTTATTATTATTAATAATAATCACTTGTTAACCGACGGAATATTAAATACAGTTAATAATTGCTTTGAAACTAATTAAAACGTCAGTAATCATTTTATCATAATTACCCGGTCATAGATAACGCTTCCAACGCACACGAAAAACAATTTTAATCAGCGTAATTATTATATTAATTTAATTAAACATAGATATGAAAGAACAGGACTTTTGAGCTTTTAACATCACTAGTTGGCTTTCATATCGGCGATATAGTTAAATCTATTTTTTTCTTTACAATATAGTGTAAGTAAATATGAATACCAGTTACACACAATATTCAATATAGTCAGCATTAGCAATATTGTGAACTTGAAATAAAGCTATTTTAGTAAGTTTTTATACCAGAGCTGTGTTCTTAAAGCAATTGATATAAAGTTACTAAAGTAACCAAGCAATAGTAGTAGTTTACGGAGTAAAAGTTACAATGTTAAAAAATACTTAATTGATGACTGTAGATCCCATAGATGATGTAAAGCTTGCGTTACAATCTCTATGAATCTTTTTGCTAAACACTACTTTAAAGATATTTAATCAATAATCAGCAGTGTATTTATACCTTTAAATACAACATAATGACAGCACTAAAAAGTTGTTAAATAAAGAAAAATAAGGCCAAATTCACATGCTTGTTCCGCGCATATGTTAATAAGTTTAAGCATAACTAATTTCTCCTGAAGCTAAGTTTAATAAAGGTGCGAATCCTTTTTAGAATTCGCACATTACTTAAACACATCGAAAGCGGCGAAAAAAAGTTGTTTTGAAACATAACGAATATAATTAAAATTCAAAAAAGTTTTGGTAAAAATATCTTCGGCAATGGGGATGTTGCCTGGGTCAAAAAGCAAGAGTTTTAATTAGTCCGTCAGTTAACTTATCAAAAAATACTCTACTCGTATTTTTCACTTTTTCAAACTAATGAAAATTTAAAGAGATAAAGCGCCCCAAAGTTCATAAGAAGAGGCCCGTGACGTCAACGCTTGCTTAAAAATGCCGCACGTTGTGACGTCGTGCGCAACTTCAACGCACCATAACTATGTAATTATTTGTTAGATTGACAAATAAAATTATACGTGTCCAATATTTTTTGATATTAAACATTACGGACTAAAAAAATTTTTTTAGGCAACTAGCCTATTGTTATTTATTGCCATTAAGGCGGAACAAAGTTCGCCGGGTCAGCTAGTATATATATAAAAGAAAGTCGTGTTAGTTACTCCACTTATAACTCAAGAACGGCTGAACCGATTTAGTTGAAAATTGTCAGGGAGGTAGTTTAGAGCCAGGAGAAGGACATAGGATACTTTTTATCCCGTTCGAAATTAAGAAAAAAAGTCTGCTTATTTATTGCCATGAAGGCGGAACAAAGTTCGCCGGGTCAGCTAGTTTTACATAAAAAACACTTTTATTCGAATATTGTATACTTAAATAAATCCCAGTCAAGAAATATTGTTTAATCATCATAATAAAGCATCTGAAAATGTTGCAAGCAAAATAACAAACACACAATGTTTTCTAAATTATTTTCATTGAAGTTGTTTCATCCATAAAATGACGTTAGGTACCTTATTAGGTACAGTTATGTCATATTTTACTAATAAAATCATCAGTTATTATCAAGATATTATCACAATCCATACCAGTATATCTGTATTCGGATTTTAAGTAAAGCAAACTTGTTGTTCCCAAGCTTTTTAACTGACTTTAAGTCAACGGAAAATACATACTATAGCTTTGCGTTAACGAATATCAATTTATTAAGTTTTTAAATTGTAAGATAATGCCAATTTAACATAATTACATAATAATATGCAACTCCTTTTACATCTGATAGCTTTTAAAATTGTTATTGAAAAAATAAAGGCTTATTTCAGACACGTCACCCAAAATTCCCTTCAAATTAGATTCAAGTGGATTAGTCAAAACATTATTAGTATTTTCAATAGACAACTATCTTTCAATAATAACTATGAGCCTAACAAAACAAGTATTAATTTAGCTATAATCTCGGAAGCGGCTTAATTGTACTAATCATTTTGCACAATTTAATATTGTAGTTATCCTGAAAGAGTTCACAGTTTTCGTGAATGCATTAAGTTCATATAGTGATATTAAGTATGAGTAATTAACACAGAAAAGCGACAATCGGAACTTAATTATCTGTACATTATCTTCTATTCCTTCCATAATGAGTTAAAGTTTTAAAAACTTTGAAGTGAAACTTACAACATGGAAATGGAAAATTCAGTTGGGCATAATGTCGCAAAACCTCATAACAATAATAAAATACTTATTATTATTAATAATAATCACTTGTTAACCGACGGAATATTAAATACAGTTAATTATTGCTTTGAAACTAATTAAAACGTCAGTAATCATTTTATCATAATTACCCGGTCATAGATAACGCTTTCAACGCACAGGAAAAACAATTTTAATCAGCGTAATTATTATATTAATTTAATTAAACATAGATATGAAAGAACAGGACTTTTGAGCTTTTAACATCACTAGTTGGCTTTCATATCGGCGATATAGTTAAATCTATTTTTTTCTTTACAATATAGTGTAACAAGTAAATATGAATATTGAATACCAGTTACACACAATATTCAATATAGTCAGCATTAGCAATATTGTGAACTTGAAATAAAGCTATTTTAGTTAGTTTTTATACCAGAGCTGTGTTCTTAAAGCAATTGATATAAAGTTACAAATTTTAAAGTAACCAAGCAAGTAGTAGTTTACGGAGTAAAAGTTATAATGTTAAAAAATACTTAATTGATGACTGTAGATCCCATAGATGATGTAAAGCTTGCGTTACAATCTCTATGAATCTTTTTGCTAAACACTACTTAAATAAAGATATTTCATCAATAATCAGCAGTGTATTTATACCTTTAAATACAACATAATGACAGCACTAAAAAGTTGTTAAATAAAGAAAAATAAGGCCAAATTCACATGCTTGTTCCGCGCATATGTTAATAAGTTTAAGCATAACTAATTTCTCCTGAAGCTAAGTTTAATAAAGGTGCGAATCCTTTTTAGAATTCGCACATTACTTAAACACATCGAAAGCGGCGAAAAAAAGTTGTTTTGAAACATAACGAATAAAATTAAAATTCAAAAAAGTTTTGGTAAAAATATCTTCGGCAATGGGGATGTTGCCTGGGTCAAAAAGCAAGAGTTTTAATTAGTCCGTCAGTTAACTTATCAAAAAATACTCTACTCGTATTTTTCACTTTTTCAAACTAATGAAAATTTAAAGAGATAAAGCGCCCCAAAGTTCATAAGAAGAGGCCCGTGACGTCAACGCTTGCTTAAAAATGCCGCACGTTGTGACGTCGTGCGCAACTTCAACGCACCATAACTATGTAATTATTTGTTAGATTGACAAATAAAATTATACGTGTCCAATATTTTTTGATATTAAACATTACGGACTAAAAAAATTTTTTTAGGCAACTAGCCTATTCAAACCGCACAGCCTTTGTTCAGATCAAATCGATAATTATATTATCCGGATATTGAAATGAGCTATAA